CACTCAACTGTTCAAAATTTATTTTGACTAATTTTGTTGAAATTGCCAGCCAGAGAGGGAGGTCTAAATTAATAAACAAGTTTGAAGTCATTTTTAATGCTATTTGAATAGCAAAGACAAAGTTCAGAGGTAACAAAGACAGGAAAAATGGTCACACATTGGACCCTTAAAATTTATAGAATGAACCAGCGTATTATGTTAATATTTATTTATAGAATAAACCCAATGTACCGGTACAGAAAAATTCCCATATTTTTACCAAACTTTCTTGTTGAATAAAACATGAAATCTTCATGTCTACATCGTCGGCAAAGTACAATGTCAGGCGGTGTCAAATGTTTTCGATCACAATTTATTACCTACATGTATGTGGGAGGATTGCGTACATGTAGCTAGGGGCATGGTCCTTTATCCCAAGAAATAAAGATATATGACCACATTCTATCACATCCAAGATAACAACGGGACATTGGAATACATTACGAACCAGCAGCATGTTATGGCAGTAGATGATCACACGCTTTGTTTGTCTAAGCGTGTATTTATCACAATACGGACTCAGAAGTACATGACAAATGACCAGTGTACTAGTTACTGGGTCACGCAGATCTGCGCTTATCTCTTACAGCACTACGCACACAGTATTGTGTACATTCTGTAGACCATCCTGATGATTCTGCGCATCCAACATGTCCAACCGACCGACAGCGAACAAGAGCTGTAGGCCTACTGGCAAACTTGTGGGAGATAACGATCCGATATGACTCCGGTGGTGTTACTATGTGCTTAAATCACAGTAACATGGAGACTATCTTTTGATAAACCCTTCACTATTTGTACTCTGGTTCAACAGTACATGTACCAGACGAAAGAGCGTCACATTTCACTGTCATACCCTACTGTTATAAAATTGTAGCAAAAAAGTTAAACTGTTTCCTTGTTCTTTAGGGCCTTTGACACTATCCAAAATGTCTGTGTTGGTCCACAGTAAGCACTGTGGATATATCGATATTACTCAATTATTCGATATTATTTTGATATCGATACTGCCGGTAGCAATTTTGTAATCATATCAAAATGTCAAAATTTTCGATATTGGCCTCGTTTTGTGCTCTGCATTCACTGGAATTTGCGGTCTCCCAAATGTAAACCTCAAAAGAAACCATCCGTTCCGGACAAACTGTCAGTGCTGAGATTTGTTTTAAAAAGTTTGAGCAATATGCTCTAGAGAAAGCCGTGGAAAATTGGGATTTAAGTTTTTTTTTTTTTTTTTTAATCAAAGAATCATCTTTATGGTTAACTTTTACATGGGATAATCGATGTATCGAATATTCTCGATACTGGATTTTTGATATAAAGATTATTGAAAATTCTGATATTCTGATGGTGCTTTAATTAATAGTCCACGGTTGGTACACGGGTCCAGCGCTCTACAGGGGTAAACTCCAACCCTGGTCGTGACCAGCGTTGGCTCACGGACCATTTACATGGTCCGTGGTTGGCTCCACCGAGGTAGAAAATCCAAAATCGTACAGCTGATCCATGTATAACCTGAAAGTATGAACAGTATGCCGTGCCTACCCGTGTTCGATGGGCATGGGACGTGGTTCTGCTTACGGTGGACTCGGTGTTGATTTCAACACAGTACAACCTGGCTGTGAAGTGGTGTGTTTTGACAAGCTGTTCCATATACATCTCCACTGTTTACCAATCCAAGAAAAAAAATATCCCTTTCCTGACTATAAACAGTCAGGTTGGCGTATCACGTTCCTTGTCTTTTGACTTGAATGCCCGGGGTTCAAGTCCCACCAGGGCAGACTGTGAATATCAAATGTCCAGTCAGGACACATGTTTAATTTCCTGCAAGACTGTACCCAGACTAAATCAAGGCGATTTCCTAACAACTTTGTATAAACACAGGTTAATCCTGGGACATAATTTGGACTGAATATTAATCAGGAATAAAGTCCGCCCACCCTCTAACTAGACACGACATTGTAAGCAATGGCGCTGGAAAAGTTTTTAACAAATTGTAATGAGACAAATTAAAAAGAGTGATTAATTTGGAAACCTGTCAGGAAACTTTCGAACATAATTTTTGGGCATTGTTGTGAAAACTATACTGTAGTTATATTGTGGAAATAGAAAATTCACATTTTCACCGTGGTGTAAGAATTGGTGCACCATTCAAAGTACTTCATGAAATGCATAGAACCTGTACATGTTATGTACATTGTAGCGGGCCGTCACCTTGTTATGGGCAAGTTTTTTATTGTTAGGCAAATTAGGACGAGTTGTGGTGATTTTCTGCTGTCCCCACAGCAGTGTTTCCCCTGGCTAATGAACTGAGCGAGGTGGTAACAATTCAAGTTGATGATTGAAATGAAATTTACAGTCTGCAAACTGAAAAGAATGCAGCGCTCACAAAAATGCGCAATGATTCCAAAAACACATCGAAATTGTGAGTTCTTGAGGTAAAGGAAAATGCTCATACATGTGTATATTACACAAAATGAAATTTTTTCAATTGATATTTCCTTTTTTGCCAATCTTCACAGCGAGGTGGTGATATTGGCAAAAATTGAGCGAGGTGGTCACTGAAAGTAGCGAGGTGGGCCACCTCACGTTTGAATGGGCAGGGGAAACACTGCCCCACGGTGTCTTCGGTCCCCATAGTTCCATATAGACAACGCGTGTGTAGTCAACACAACTACAGAACAAGAATGGGTGTACGTATGCATTTCATACATGTTTAATTAACATGACAAAACTGTCACATGCAATAATGTAGATACTTTGATACATGTTCGATTCCCACACATTGTGACAAGTGTCCTTAGCCTAGAAATCCAAGACATGTAAATATTTCTAAATTCCTATCACACCACAGTCCATCTGTTGGATAGTGATTGTGCCCCCAGATATGTTTTCCATACACAAACCACTCAGACATAAAACACAGACTTTTTTCTGATCAATATTACAACATCAACCTGCTAATTAGCATGAGCTTTCTTCTCCCAGACCTAATGAGCTTGGCAGGTTCTTGGGAGGAAGATACTCCCTTGAGATAACACACGAGCTAGCTCCTCGCTCATCTTTAAGAATTCAAGATAATGGAAGAGAGGATCAGTTATCCGTATCATAAAAGATGAGGAGCATCTCTGGAATGACAGTTAGATTACATGAGCTCAGGCCTGGGTGCGTCTAATTGTGGGGCACTCAAGAACAGTCTTGAATTATTAAAACGTGTGGACAGAAATCTCATCGCAGAGAAAGGGAGGACGGGGGAATTAACTTGGTTGGGTGATTTGATGTGGTTGAGCACTGAAAATGTCGATCTGGGGCTTGTGGGAATGGGTAAATAAACAAAATATGGAGATTGAATCCCAAGCTTGCATGTTCACATTTAAGCATCGTCTTGCAGAAGAGGCAAATTAAATTTAAGGCGTACACATGTACCTACATGTATCATGTCTTGCAAAAGAAATGTTATGTGCAGTTGACCAGCATTTAATGAGAGGAAAAGTATGAGGTATCAAAAACTGATACTCCTGTGCCATTTAGTATTAAAGATAGAGTAGGCCTATATCATTTGCAGCTATCCAATAAGTAACCGACAAAATTACTGTTGAAAAGCATAAGTTTAGTAACGGCCCTATTAAACCTCCCGGTGAAATTAATCTTTCTGGCATGCTGTCATTTTAAAGCAAACAATAAAAGAAGGTCATTTCCAAAGTTGCATCTAAAGACGCATTTTGGAAATTTCTGTTAGTAGTTCGTTTTTAATTCGGCGAAGCACGCAAGTGTTGACACGACGCACACATGCGCGCAGTTGCTGTTATTCGTCGGTTCAGTGCGTGACATCACGTAGAGCTGCAATTGGCTGAATGAGAACGTGTCCCAGACGCTGATTTCGAGCACAGTTCAAAATACAGCATTCAGTTTGCTGAAACTTCATCAGTTTAGTTTTGTAAATGTACACTTCTTTAGATTCTGAACACTTTTGTTGCTTCAATTCAAATGAAGAAAAAATGAACAAATGACAAATGATAGACTCTACCTTTAAATGTGTCACTAAAGATCACTAAAAATGGATGGACATCATATGATAGGTGATATTACTTTTATGTTAACGTTTGCCCCATACTTTGATTTACTAATTTAGAATGTACATGAATGTACATCTGAATGTTAGAGACAGTAAACCCTATGCACTGGAAAGCAGGTGGTCTTTGGTTCCAGTCCCACTCAAGTCAGCTTGTGATTTTTTTCTAGCGATCACTCGGAAAATACTGAATATAATGTGTTCATAAAATTATGTATGTCGGTGATGGGCAAAATCCAATACTGAGCAAAATGGTACCTTTAACCAGTTCACGCCGGGATTATTTTGACAAGAACAGAATGAGGCACGGGATCACTTTTCACTCGACCTCAAGCCAGGCGGGTTGAAGCCATCACCCTCAGGCAGCACGCACATATTTCCGGCCTCGCTTGCTGCGAGCGGGTCGCTGACAGATCTTGCCGGCCTCGCTCTCTGCGTGTTTATCTGTCATCCGTTCAGAATACCGCAAAACCTATGTGTGTATACACGCCTCCGGCGCAAACTGGTTAAACACCAAGATTTCGTCATCCTACTATTGCTAAAAACAAAGTTCTACAGCATGTTTTTTTTTAACTACTGTGCTGGCACTTGATCCATTGTTCTGGAAACAAGATCAAGAGGTATACACCTTTACACACTGCATACGACACTCATTTCCTGATAGTGAGACATTTTACAAGTACTGTATTTTTTACCGTGCTCGCTCTTCAGTTCAATTCAAGCTGCAAGTTCTGTGGAAATTTATCTTTTGCCGAGAGCAAATTAGAAATCGACATGTATGAACTGGCATCAGGTTTCTGTCAAGAGAAGATATTTTTTATACTACTATAATTGTAACAAATTACTGAATTGCGTAAAAACACAACCGGTAACCAAAGGAGAAATCACTTACATTTGTACCTTGAATATCCTGAAGTCTTGAAGCCTTGAACACTTACATCAGTGTCGGCATGCTACGTTTCTCCCCGGGCGTGTTTGTGCAATTTACAAGAGAGAAATTGTCTGGCCGGACGAACATGCACCGCTTGAATGAACAATTCAAAAGGGGCTCGATACACACGCACCACACTTGTTATGGCCTCGTCGCTATATCCGGCGCATACATTTAAATATGTCTTTGGGCTTGCCAGTCACGACCGTTCACGCCATTTGCTCCATGGTAATGAACTTGTGAAGGTAATGACGGTCTCGGCTGAAGAGAAGAGGGGGAGAGGGCGATTCGCCTGACGGCTAACGTCTGGATTTAGCGTTGAGATTTTCCTCCGCAGATCTCTGCTTCAATTTCGGAAGCTCGTTTCTCTGATTAGAGAGGACAATCATTCTCCCTCAACCGTGACAGCGCTTTGGTTTTTCCTGGTGCAATAAATGTTCGATAAAAAAAAAAGGGGTTGATTGCGAAAGCAGACTGCAGAAATGAAGAATATAAAAATTGGTTTTGAAAGCAGACATCATGACAGTAAATATGAGTGGGTTTGAAGCCAAGGTTGCTTGACAAATTGAATTTTGTAGAAAATCACAAAATTACTTGTTTCCCCCCCCCCCAATTGTTTTTTTTTAATTTAAATATTTCATTCAAATACTTTCATGTTCAAATCTCACTGCAGAAATATAAAAATCAGAACACTTGTTTATTTTCTCAAGTTTTTGTACCAAAGAATACTCATCTGCAATTAATCATTTGAAAGTTTCTCTTTAAATGCATTGATGTGTGGCTAATAATACTAAGGTGGACAAAATTACCCCTATAAATGTTGCTCATATGCTGGACTTCCTCCATATTGTCAGCCACATGCTAATGCATGCACTGGCGTGTGGACAAGCTGTGCAAGAGGAAATCGAAATCGGGACTTGTTTTTCACTTGATTTTCACCATGGATGATATTGATACTCACCTGGTTAAATAACCAGGAAAAAATTGCATTCCTGAACTCTAGATGTCTACTTATCCTGTAATTTTCAGACAAAATTTAGCAGAGAATTTGTCCAAAAATGACTGCAGTATTTTTCTCAATGTCAAGGGTCACGCACCCTTGACCTAATTTTTCCTGGTTATTAACGGTTTTACCAGGTATTATTCAGCACCTTCTATAGCGAATATCAAGTGAAAAAAAAGTTTCTAGATTTAAAATTCAGGAAACACAACTCTGTAAGATTTTTAGCATGCATGGGTGTGTACACGGCTCACAATATGGTGGAAGTCCAGTATTTGAGCCACATAGGGCTACCGCCTCCATTTTTCTTCAAACTCCCTCCCCTCCCCCCCCCCCCCCCCCCCCGGCCCCCTAATCTACATACATACATACATGTACACACTCTGAAGTTCATCCCTGTACAAGTTTAATTCAAATACACAAAATTCCTTATTTTAATATGGGCTGTAGACCAATACTGAAGTAAACAGTCATAAATAAATAGAGTCCCGACAGAGAGAATGTAATAATGGTTCAGCGGAGAAAAGTTGTAAAATAAAATGCCACTTGTCAGTTCAAACAGTCCTACTTAGAATATTTTCCTGACTCTCCATCTGTCCATAGACTTTGTACACAACCGCTGAAGTGGCATCAGGATGCAACATTTTTTCTGAATCTGGGTCTGAGAAACATTTCCAATGTTAGGAAATAATTTGAAAATGCACTCGACCAGAGCTCCCCACTAGACTTTGTACACAACCAAAGTTGAAGTGGCGTCTGGATACTTCATTCTTTCCCAGCATGCCATGTCATTGTCACCGTCTTGGAAGCTGGAATTGGTAGCAAAAGTACCGGTCTCTACAAATGTAAATTGTAGTTCTACGCAATTTGTTGCACATGTGACATAGTTGGCCTCACAGCTCGTCACAGTCACAACATGGAGTTTTATACACGTTCCATTGATGTTCACTTTTTCACACGTACAATACACAGCCCATGGCATGATGTAGGTAAATGGAATATCAATCATACGATGTGTTTTTACCGACAAAATAAGCATGCACATTTTTCCAATACACATATTGAAATTGTTCTTACGCTGGGGATACTTACAGACAATACATTCACTGAGAGGAATTCCTAATCCTGGAAAATAAACGTCAGTCAAAATTCTCACGAGAGAATGTAGGTTTTTGTACACTGAATAACTGTGCCGTTTGTGTGCGTTGTATTACGCGTATACATGTACGGCACGGCCGGCGCTACAACGTTAATTGTGCATTGTGAGTTAACTTTCATTTTGAACGTGCATTTGGTGCTGCACTAAATTTCGACATTTTTACATTTCTAGATATTTTTTGCAATTGTGTTTCCTTAAAATAATCGAAATGTATGGCATTGTTCTATAAAGACATCAATCTGAAATGAAATGTTCAAACAAATCTCATGTATACAGTCTATTCTATATACACGTTTATTACGCATTCTGAACTTGTGTAGAATGTGACGTCATGTTGCTAAGCACAAGGTAAATTCACTCGTCGCTCGTGTATCGTATCACAGGTGTATTTTATAATTGATTGAAACGGAATTTCCAGTTCATGTGATTTTTGTCATGATGTAATGAGTATTTTGTCACTTGAACTTACGATGGATAAACATATAAGGGATGCGATTCTCTTTAAACAAAAAAAAAAGGGCAGATAAAAAAAAACCAAGAGAAGTGTTACCGACTAACAAAAAAATTTACGGCCGTGATTTAAAAGAAATTAAATTAGCTTTCCTTTTTTCTTTTTCTTTTTACCGAGTTTTGCTTAATTCGTTACAGATTCTGTAAAAAATGACTCACTATTTTGAAAATGAGCTACATAATAAAAGCAAATAAAGGACGCGGTTTTGTTAGGGCAAGATATTTATTTATTTATTTGTTATTTTATTTATTTTTTACGGGGGGGTGGTTGCCGTCGGGGGGGGGGGGGCGTTGCATGTACTTATTTTGTCCAAAAATGATACAGCCAGCTAAAAAGACAACCAAAAGAACCTACGTATTTATATGCAGATAAAGAGGAAAAACTAAACGCGCGGCGCCTGAATTGAACAATCGATCTGTACTTGGATTGAGTCGATACAAATAAACATCTTGAACCAATATTTTTCTCTCGGCTTACTGGAGCTAAACACACTGACCTCTAAAGAGATCAGTGAGCTAACATAACAGCCCATGTATTGAGCGCCCTCTTGTGAACTGCGTGTGATAAACTTACAGTCCACACTTCAGTGATAGCGCCCTCATGATTTCCTTCAAGATTAAGAAACTTCTGAAGAATTTGGGGGGCGGTGGTGGTAGGTTCAAGCGACAGCAGTTTCAATCTATGTTTGTAATTGTTCGAAGAAAACACTCTTCCTACATTAAACAGGAATGTAACGAATTTAAGAGGTAAGTAAATATGCACTGTTTCTTGTATAAAAGATTTGTACTTTTTAATTTTCAGATTTTTCTAGGGCATCCCAAACTCATGTCCAAGTTTTTTTTAATTTTTTTTTAATTAAACTGACAAGAGGGGGCGCACTTTGTATAGAAGTGGAACATGTGGGAACAATTATGGCGTAATGCATATTCATTTCTGATCACGTTTGATCTTTAACCTCTCCATGATTCTCAGCATTAGCAACGAAAGAAAAAAGACACGAGTATTTCAAACCAGCATATGTTAATCACAGTCGTATTTACTTAATGATAGGAACAATGACTTAAGCCATCAATAGGTCGGCTCATACTTAAAACGATAGACACGCGATAACTTGAACTGGAAAATGAACTATAGCAAACAGTGACATAACAAAATAGAGTCCAAATTCAGTGTCGGTAAACATTGTTATCAAGAAATACGGCGTGTGAAATCAACGTTCAAGTACATGTAGGTGTTGCTGTTTAACATTTGTATATTGTTCACATAAAAGCATGTAGGCCTAGTACAGTTTGGAAAGTTTAGAACGTAATTTCCGATGATTTATTTATGTTAACCAAAAACAGAATACTCAGTGGTACATATTCATTTGCTTTTCACAGTTGAACACGATTTTTCCAAGTGAACCATTGTGTTGTGACAATAATTAATAATATAGATACATTTCAACAATCATTTTAGACTGTTTCTAATCATAAATAATACTGTAACTTAAATGATATGTACAGATGAGTTTTTATTCGATACAAATACTTAAAAACAGATAAAATATCGAATGATCTGTGGTCGCCTTTCGCCATTTTATACAACGAAATTTCAAAACCTATTAATTTGGTATAAACAACAATCACCATTGATTGAACAGTAAACTGTTCTTCGTATTTTAAGTTCAGTTTAAGGAAGTCTACAAAAAAAGTTGGAACTTGAAGTTACGTTAGGCATAATGAAACTCATCAACGTCATTAAATAATTGTTTTTCATGTTTTCTCTTTTAAATTCATAAAAGAGATTTGTTTCCATGTAAAACAGGGTTGTTTCCTATAAATCATTTTATTTAAACAGGGTTGTTTCCTATAAATCATTTTATTTAAATCATTGATTCAATTTTTAAAAAGAAATCATTTTAAAAAAAATCTTAAGTCGTGTAAAAGCTTAAAAATCACGATTCGCTCGTAGATAAGAGCTTTTAAAGAATGTTCAGTTCATTAACTCAGTTTTAATACACTTTATTAACCCAAATTTTAATACACTTTATGTTTTCATTCCATCCAGTATGCTCCCGTTGCAGTTGAAATTTTCTCGTTATCAACTCCATTCATGAATGGTGCAAGGCACGTTACATTTTCCTAAAGAGGGTTAAAGGGAATATACATCATTTGCTTTTGCTGTAATTTTCAGAAATGGATGGAATTGGGGGGTTGGAAATATATAGCAAATATAGTTACACTGACTTTTTTGAGGTTTTGGGTTCAAAAATGCTATAAAAAAACAAGAAAAACGATCATTTTCCTGTAGTCTGGTTCCCTAACTCCATTTAAGAAGAAACAGAGCAGTTTACATACATTGGGGAATTGTAAGGTCAGGGAACCAGTCTAGCTGGCTTGTACCCGTTCATAGGTGTGTAATCGATTGCAAACAAGTGCGATGGTCAACTGGGGCTAGTATTTGAAAAAAAAAGCCAGTTTTTTCCAACGCTGGTCGACCGATCAGCGTTGGAAATTGATACAAAAATACCACTTTTCTTAAAAATGACAGTATACCAGGTGCCATGATTTTACAGGATGCTTTACACTGTCATTCACTAACAGTCCAGCAAGGTATTTCAAAATGATTTGGTAGTTTTATTTTTTGATGTTTGCAAATGTTGTATTTTCCCTTTTTAAAGCCTATAGTTTCCATATCGACGTTATGCTTATGCAGACTGCGCAACAGTGCGCGGAACTGTCGGCTAAGTTGAACCGAGTTCAACTTCTTTGCCGATCGTTTTCGAGGTGGTTTGCGTCTGAATTGTCCGTGACATTTCCGGATGAAAAGTCTGCATGTACATTTTGTATCTGCGTTGCATGCAGTTAGGTCTTGTTTGCGTTGCACTCTGCGTTCCTTATGTCGATATGGAAACTAGGCTTTAAAGAAGTAGTGTCCGGACAGTATATCATTCATTACAATGTACAATCAACACACTTCGTTGTTTGAACAGAAATAACACTGAAACAGATGACAAAGTTGTCTTCCATAGTGGGTCCTTCACTCATGTTCAGTGTTCCATAATTTCTTAAATCACTCGAATAAAGTGAAGCTAGTTAGACAGTTAATTTCTCTCTTTTTTTAGGAACAGATTATTTCTTAAACCAAAACATCTTTGGAAGTTTTAAAAGGTAAAGATGCAATGCAAAATAAACAGAACTTTCCAGATGGATGTTGAATAATATTATCCGCTGTATATAACGTTTTTGTTAACTCATACCAAGAAAAAAATCGATTTAAATTTTTAAAAATCTGATTTTTTTTAAATCATGATTTTAACAACCCTGGTTTAAAACAACCAATACAACGTAGGCCTACTGTACTGATTTGGGTCACGAACATCAATAAAATTTCGTTCACGTGTACGTGGTATATATTAGCTTACAAAGTTACATTAATTATTGTATATTGGACAATGACAAGTTTTATTGCAAAGTTAAAATTTGGGATAAAATGGCGTCCAGCACCACAAGTTGTACATAGATTATCATATTTATAACTGAACGAAACATTTGTTTCCTCAATTAGTCGTTCATCCCGTAATAAATTTAGGCCTAAAACAAAACCCCCAAAAAACAAAGAACAAGAAGCAAAATTTGAATTCTTTAAACGAATACAAATTTCACTTTAGACTTATCCGAAGATGTTAGGCGCATGTTTGGAACAAATTCCCACGTCTTAAAAATATTCCACAACAGAAAGTCTTCAAGAAATTTATTTACGCTGCAATCCTCATAAGGTCACACTGATGCAATTTTTAGGAAACATACTTATGGACTATCCATAACAAGTTGCTACATTGACAAATTAAAAAAACTACGTTACGGCCATAAACACTGAAAGTAAATGTGCACACATTAAATTCAGCACATTAAACAGGCCGTTCAGGTGTACAATTTAATATGGGAATCTTTTTGAGAGTAACGTAAATACAGAAAGTCTCCTTACAACGTAACAATAAATCCGCTCAAGCAATTATAACGAACAGTCATCAATGTCATCCGACATAATCTTTCTATTGTCCAACGATTATACCAGATTACAGCAGTTGGCCCAATCTACTTAATGTTTGGTTCCAAAACACTTCCAACTTTTCTTAGAAGTCCTGAACTCTGTGTACAAACAAACAAGTAAAGATGACGTACATAACAGGTCAGTGACATCAACAACAACAAAGTTAATCGTCTTTACATAAATCCCAACAACTGAACAAGCTTGTTCTTTTGGTCTCCAAAACATCTCGGTCTTTCTGTACGACATGGACATACGTCAAACAGTCGCTTGTCTTTTTAATCGTTTTTAATTACACCTCAGTTGTTCCATTCACTCGACTAACAAAAACTAAAAAACGAGTCCTGTCAACGTCAGTCCATCCCTACAAAATAACCAATACTTCACTGTCCATTCCTTTGAAAACCATTAGAAATGTAGGAAACTTCTCTCTGAATATTTATATATTTTTTTACAACATCCAACAGCGCAAGCGCCAGACCATGTTCGGGCCACGAAGTCGTTAGATTTTCTCTAAAGAGCATGTTTTCAGAAGCCTTATCATTTTCTCCACTCGGCATGTTTTCAGAAAACTTATAATATTTTTCCCCTGGATTTTTTAAAAATCATTTTAAGTCTTAACAACAAAGTAACATTATTGTCCGAAATGCAAGCTTTCCTTAAGTAGATTCGAGAATCGTCTGCAGAGAGAAAATGAAGTGCACAAGGAAAGTGTAAACCACGATCAATCTAAGACGTGGGCCCTTGTTTCATACAGAAAACAAATGAATTTTTTTTTCTAGGGATTTTATTAAGCAAGAAGTTGTTTGGTGGACGATGACCCAAATATCAAGCAACAAGATGTATAACAGTTAAGTGAAATAAACAACATGAACGTGGACAAAAAATAATGATCACAATCATGTGTGGCACGATAAATCACGGCTCCCATACATAAATAAACAGATCTTGGGTCATGTAGCCGACGGAATGTGCTCAATGTCAAATAGGTCAAAGGTCAGAGGGCACTCAAAAGAATCGTATACTGTCTTCCTCGTCCGTAGGGAGTCTGTAAGCTGGAAGGGAGATTTTCCGGATTCTCATGTCCATCGGCTCAACATCCAGAAAGTCTTTTCTGGGCGAGTCCTCCTCGAAGACTTCGTCCTGGAATCGAACCCGGTGCTGGTGGGGTTGCTGGTGGGGGTCCGAATCCAACTGCGGTTTGTTGTTGTTGTTTGGGGCCAGGATGGAGCCGTTAGGGATCCCTCGACGTCGGTCTCGGTCTCGGCGAGAAGGCAGGAGCTCCACCGTGCTAGCCCTCTGCCTGGGTACCATACCCCCAGGACGGAGAAACTGGCCCAAATGGGGGCTATGTAACCCTTCCCCGTTCTCCATACAGGGTTCCTCTTCAGGGCCGGAGTCAGGGACCGGTGAAGGGGAGGGGGATGAATCAGGCGTCTCCAGCCTTATATCGTGTAAACTCCCAATGAGTTTCTCATTAGCCTTGTTCAAGGCGTGTATCTGCTTCTGTTGTTTCTTCACAGTTTGCTCCAGCTGTTTAATCTTGAGGTCCCTCTTGTTCAATTTCTCGACAATTTCTCTCCTCTCTTTCTTCAGGCATCCCTCGATGAACATGAGTTCAGACACCAGCTCCGTGAACTGCTCGTCTTTCTCCCGGGCGACCTGGATGACTTTTTCATCGCCCTCTTGTAGACGTAGTTTCCAGCCGGCGATAACTTGTCGGGTCCTCGTCTTCTGCAACTCCATCTGTCTGCCCATGTCATCGATGATGTCATTGGCATCTCGTAGTCTTCTCTTCAGAACGCTTATCTCTTTCTCAAGCTGCATGGAGGGAAATAAACACATAATCAACTGGCGTTTAGTGTGCAACATTTCAGTGCAAGGTTTTGCGATTCCTGTCTGTTTTTCTTTCTCAAAAACACAAACAATCCCATCTCTTACCAACAGACACTCCTTTCGTATTCCATCACTTAACTACTTTGCTTTGCAAGCTCAATTCTGTAAAATGCACGCCACTGTTATCAATTGTTGAAAATTAACATCCAACTATCAACAAATCAAAGATTGCAGATTGTTCGTAAAAATCCCGTACTGCAAACTTTGTGTGATCACGTGCGGTCCTATCCTCCTAGATCCCACTGACATGAACGCACAAAGAATGGTGTACATTATACCAAACAAAAACAGAATACCGTCCAGCTCACAGAAAATGAACCACCATGGAATAACAATAAAGTTCACTTTCCAAACGAGTCGGAATCCTTTTCAGAAAAAAACCATTGTCCTTCGAAAGTGTTTGGTTAACTTCTCCAGAAAGTGACTCGGCACTCGAACCATGTATGCTCGAACCAACAAAAAGGTTTGAGGGAAAGGGTGGTTGTGTTTGCAGAAAGGCCTACGGTGGCAAAGGTAGGCGAAAGGTAAACATTCTCATCCCAAAGGATTCGAGGAAGAGAAAGGAACAAGTTGGGCCACCCGATTCTGATCTGTACCTTGAAGCCAATTACGGTAGCAAAAAAAAAATCCTCCTTTTTGGGGGCTTCATGCTTGAAGTCATAAATCTGTATAGTGAGCCGTGGGGTTAAGTCAGGTTCAAGTGGAATACGAGTTCGTTTAGTGAGCAATACCAATTCGGTTGATTTAACAAGATTTAATCTGACATTGTACTGACTTTGGATGAAGTTGTAAGTTCCTTCATGCTCAGGGATTGGCGACATCGATCCATTATCAATTAATAAATATTTACCCATGTACCAATTCAGATCATATAAGAATATGGCAACCAAATAATTGATCGATCGATCCAAAACTAAAATACGTACCGGTATGTAACTGCCACCGTTCCAATTTCCCATACAAAACATAAGTCATTCAATTACTGAAACTTGTCATGTAAAATGAACCTCATACGCACTCAAAAAGCCCATAAGGTCACAATGATCTATTCACAAAAGTGAATAGGCTTTAACGAGCCCTTATTACATCGTACTTGACCTTTATACTGCCACAAATGACCACCTTTTGCCAAAATTACTGGCCATACCAAGATTTCACTGTCATAAACACACCTCGTTAGAACCATTCACAATAAATCTCTCATCGGTCAAACCAGAAAGGTCAAGACTTGTACGGACAATTATTATTCCATTTATGGACGCTGAATGTGGTTGGCCATGCTTTCAAAAATCTTTATAACTTTGGACAATGCCAAAAAAAGTTCATAGAAGAACAATCTGTTTGTCAAGTTGTAAACAACACCAGTTCGTTCGTACATGTAAGGTGGAATGTCAGTTTACTGTTGACATGTTGTCGAGGATGATTCCTTTGAAACAGACGATGGCAATATTTTAGATCTTGTCATACCTATCTGAAGTTACATCCCAACAGTACCTTTTGATCACTTTCAAATGTGGCATTAAACCCCGAAATATAAAAACGAGCATGCTATATCGAGCATGCTATATAACCAGACGAGACTACCCAGTTATGTTTAAAACAGAAAGATCAAGGAATACTCTTCCGATTACAAAACAAATAGACCGGTGCACATTTAATGATATCTTAGGTTAAGCTTTTTTAAGGGTACCACTACCAGCATTCTTTTCTTTAAGTTAAAAGGGTCCATTTGATTCATTTTTCTTAGGAACACATTTTGTGCAACTTTCTACTCCTGTTAAATGTATGAAAACTGTTTGACATCCCTTTTTGGTTAATTTTATTGAAAAGTGCAGTTCTTTAATTAAACATTAAAAACTTTCCGTGCTTTTCCGGACAACCGAGGGCGCTGCTGCTATGATGCATCATTTCAGGAAGACACTGTTCAGTTTTGGGGTTTTCTGTTCAAATTTTGGATCACAAATTTGCTCCTTGAACTTGAACACATCTGCGAGAAAGGGTTGCTTAATGGCTTACTGCCATGTACTTACACAACAAATCGCAAAAGAATAGAAAATTTATGGCATCGAAATATCTAGAATTCTAGCAACTTGTTGTGTGGACTGTAACATTGAAGTTTCTGCCCGGAATGACATCACAGTTTTGCTCATGAATATGGAAATTCGCATTAACATAAAAACCAAAAAAGGCACCAAAATACTCTTCAAAATGGCAAAAAATGAGGTTAAATGGGGCACAAAACCAGAACAACCAAATAACCAAAGCATTTTCCAGTAACAACGCATAAATGACAGCAAATGGAAAGTTCTGGCATTTGAAATTTGAAATTATTTTAGGTGGAACCGTGGAATAATAATTACTTTCGCTCAAAACACAATAAACCATAAAAAAAATTATCAGCAGTGAGAGTCAATCGGTGTGGTGCAGACGATAACACGCCAGTGCAGGAAGCTTCGTAGTGAACAATTTCCCGCCAAAAAAAGGGTCAAACATTAACAGGAAACGCATTATTGACATTGCATGAACTCTGAAAGCGACGACACATATTTTTGTCTCAGGTTTTCCTGGTGGAAATATAACCCAACAATTTCTCATTCATATACGTTTCACTCTGATCTTCCACGTTATACCTGTCAATAACTCACAGACTTCATCGTCTCGCATTACAAGAAAAGTCAACTCTATCCACAAAGCAGTCTCACCTGCTGTCGAATGGAACATGGATTTCACACTAACAGCGAGCAACTTCAAGTTGAGAAATATATTTATTTTCCCACGCCGCGCCGGGCCAAACTTTAACAAAAAAATGCTTCACCGACGATTTTACCTTTCAATGAGACTTCACCCATGTGCAAAGTCCACATTCCCCATGCCTACAACATACCTACCACATCATGTTCACATTTGCATGGGTTTTTTTTTGTCCCAGGCACACCATTACTGTGACCATATAATAGAGCTAGGACCCACTGTGACTTATGGTTTATGATATCTTGCGGTCGGGCATAAACACAAACGAGTCGTTGACTGAGTATTATTTTTGACACTGCTACCTTGTTACATGACATGCACGTGGGTGACATTAGATGAATGAATGGTTATGGCTCAAGGCCTTATGAACTTGGAACATGAATGCATGGAGTGACAGAGAAAATCCAAGAGAAAACTGCCAGGTAGTTCAATGAAATTCGTGTTTAAAGGGAATGCAGAAAATCCATAATGAAAACGTGTCCTTCGATTGAACTTGTGTTAAAGTTTGTTTGTTTACAAGCAATTTTCTGCTTATTGACTTTGTTGCCAAGATTACTGTCGAGTTTGGTGATTGTTCATTGGTTTATGCTTTAACTATATCATATAAATTATTACAATTCTTGTCATGTTGCCTTGAAGTTCTATCTATGTCAAGTCCACTTCAACAACCTTCATTTACTAAACCAAATTCAGAATACCAAATATAGTGGAAAGCAAACGGACCGTTTCATCTAAATTTTGTTTTAAAAAATCACGAAGTAGGGACATGTTTCCGTTCAATTACGTTTCGCATTATTATCTAACATCGGCAGTAAACTAAACAGTATTCCATTCTGTATATTACTGTCAGTTCCCGACTTTCAAGCATCTTAAATGGCAAACGAAATATTTGCAGATGAAGGTCTGTATGATAAACCAGATCCTAGAAATTCATCAGATTTGAAATTCGATTGTTTATGAGCACCAAATCAGAGAGCGCGTTGCGAGCTCTTGTTGATAGACACACACCACAAGCCCTGGCGACACATTGCACTTGCAGTGGGTCGATGCATGCGATGTGGGCAGAGATGTTGGCTGAGGCACGAAACAGAAAAACCAAACACCACTTTTTTGTCAACTTCTCCTGAAGTTACAGAAAGACAAGCGATACAGTTACAGACAAAAACCTGGAGTACTGGATGACAGTTTGACAAGTTTGGATTTGCCTAGTTTCAGTTCAAGCCTGATCCTTTATAGACAGAAAGGATAGGGCGACCTCTGTCGTTCATAAGCAAGGACTCCAACTGTTTATTGGAACAAATGATTTTTCAAACCCTCTTTCTAAAAAAAAAAAAAGTACAAAGTTATACAACAAATAACAAATGTTGTCTTATACGCTGTTTATGGCAACAGTATAATTATTGTTTGGCACAATCAGGCCTCGATGTGAAATTCATTCTTTTTATCGAAAGTCCTTCACAAATTGAAAGGATAAAAATCGACACACTGAAACACAGAACTACTTTTTGTGTACCCCTAGATTCGTATTGTATAGACAAGGTCGAGCCAGAATTGCATTAAAAAAAATTTTTTTTATCATAAATCTTACCATGGGGTCTTTCTTTCTATTGAAGCTTGAAGGTAAACTAGAAACAAAGGTCCCTTGATAGCTAATCTACCTTCCCCAGGGCAAAGAAATATTGCAGGGTGAACCAAGGTCTTAAATCATTGGGTAAAAAATCACGGCTTGTTTTACGGCCACGACATCGGTGGAGGGCAGTCACGTGCCGTAAATCTTTAGACTTGTTAGCGGTCGTAATTTACGATAATTTGCTTGTTGTGATAGGGCCAATTAAAGCGGCTAATTGGTGATCCTATCAAGAACACCTGCAGTGGTGTGGTAGAGTAACAACGACACAATTTTCATGATCGAAAAGACGATCATGAACTCAAAAGGAAAGATATGTACTAACACACTTCAGGTGAACTTATGAAGTGACCAGTTATCCACAAAAAGGTAAACTATGTTGTTTACTGCAGTAAATATCCAGTTTTTCTTTGAAAATACAAACCGTGTATTAATTAATAAAGGGGGGGGGGCATTAAATGGCCTTCGATTTCAGTGTAACCGAAACCGGACGAATAATGATTCAAATCAAATCGAATTAAGTCTGCCGGTTTGTTTACATTAGCCAGTCAGTCAGCGCCATAGCACAGCGTGTGTGAGGCAGGAATTTAGAAAGCATTTTCTGAAACAGTGGAATTATTTATAAGCACGCAGCATGTATGGGGACGGCTCTCAAAGCACGTAAACATTCGTGCAACATGTGTGAAATGTGTGAAATGTGATCACCATGGGAACCGAAAGAAGCAATCTGTCGAATGTCCCCAAACTTCATGAATATTTATATATTGTCAAGAGTATAATACAGAAATGTGGCTAAAAATATAATTTATTGGTACAAAATAACTACATGCTGGTTATAAACGCCAAACATTAAGCCTGCATTCGCATTCCAAACCAAATGCGTTTACAAAAACCAGTGATCGAAAAATGAAAATGTTGGAGTATTTCAAAAATTTAACATTTAAGAAAAGTGACTTTTTATTCCCGTGAGTGCTTATCCAATATTTAAACGTGGTCGTATTTTTCCCCAAAAAATGTTGAGTCAAAAGTTTAACCACAGAGGCAAAGAAAAATTGTAATTAAACGACAAAACGCTTAGGTTATTGTCTAGCTAAAGCTTTCGCGGATATTGGTCAACTTTCAGTTTTTTGTGTAGTGGACCACGGAGAAATGTGTTTGCTTTCTGAATGGCTAGACAGGTATGCATTGTTACGACAGTATTTCAGGAATGCCCAGCAAACAAACGCAAGATAATTTCAAGGACAACAATATGTTTATGCATAAACAAGGACAAACAATCACAACTGCACACATCGAGTCGAGAGGGCATTTGCGGAGAAATGAAGCATTATAGGCCTTTCTTTTGTTTGTAAACATTGGCGCCATTTTGTATGGGCTGCCGTAACTTCCCCCGTAAGCGCATAAATTGAAGCCGTGGTTGGCAACATATTTTTCCAAACAAGTCCTCATAACGCCATCAACACATGGTAAAAAGACATATGTGAGAATTATTTTGTAGCTTTGTTGAAAATGTTGTATTTATAAGTATCAAATAATATTTTGGTGATCTGTAATAACTCTTCTTCATTTTTGCAGTGTTGGACCTTCCATAGTTTTGCAGGCCGTGGTTGGCAAAAATGCAGTTTGCCAGCCAAGCGCAGAAAGGTCTATTAGCCGGACAACTGGCGGACATATGTCGCTTAGCCTCGACTCAAGGTTATTTCATAGCCAATCTGCCTTGCCGCTGGTTGCAATTGCATAACACCAACAGGGTAAAACTAAACTCAAACAATTTTTCAGATACCAAGGCGTCTTAATACTGCTTTAATAAAGCTTAAAACCACAGATATGTAGATTACAGATATTCAATTCGCGGTTGGATTTGGGATTTAAAACATATGCGAAGAGCCACGTAAGGTCTGAAGTTCTAGTCCGGATAGACTTTACATGTAAATATGCAGAACACTGTTAAAGGGAAGATACAACATTTGCAAACATCACAAAACGAAACGATCGAATTATCACAAAATACCTTACTGGATTGTTAGGGAATAACAGTCTAAAACATTCTGTAAAATTGTGGCTCCTGGTGTGCTGTCATTTTCTAGAAAAATGGGATTTTTCCAACGCTGGTCGGCCGACCAGCGTTGGAGAAAACTGGCTTTTTTCAAATAGTGCTCCTAATTTTTCATAATTAGTTATTTTGCGTTTTCTTTGCAATTGATTACACACCTGTGAAGGGAAGGGGTACAAGCCTGCTAGACTGATTCTCTGACCTTACAATTCCGCAAAGTTTATAAATTGCTCTGTTTCATCTTAAGTGGGGTCAGGGAACCAGACTACAAGAACATGATTGGTTTTCTTGGTTTCTCCAGCATCTACAAGCCCAAATCGCGAAACAAGTCATTTTAACAATATTTGCTATAACATACTAATCCTCCAAATCCATTTATTTTTGAAAATTGCAGCAAAAGCAAATGTTGTACATTCCCTACGAGAAACTACCACTAACATGTACATCCGTACAGAATTTCGCTATAGTTTGATGCTTTTCTTTCAAAAATATTTTTCAATTCAAACTTTAATTGAAGCACATAATATATAGGTGAAAATTTACAATGAAGGAAGACATTCCAAGCATTTTGGCTTACATTTACAACAATAATGGAATCAGTTAAATGATAAGTGTTGTTGGGGCGCCAGTCAGTGCAGGGAACCATGGATATATTATGCTTTGTCATATTTATGAAAAGAATGGAATGAGAAGAAAACGCTCAGTGGGATCATTTTCTCTTTATGTCTGGGGACCAATGTTAGGCAACTGTACAGCAAGGAAACTGGGGCATTTTTATTGAGCAAAACGCAAAGCCCTACCTTTGTGCTTGGCAAATCAATCAAAACAGTCTGTTTACGATTCATGCAACCGCTTAACAAAAAAATGCAAAAAAACATAATGCAGCTAAAAAAAAAAACCAGGCAATATATTCCAAACAGTCGTCGGTAACAGATTGAATTGTCACACACACTCGGCAAAAGTCGGTACACGGCACATTCCTGCATGCATATATAATCTGTAGAATTCGAGTGAAACTGGATGTACTCGTAAAACTGCCCAAACACATCGATGGACGCGATCAATATAAACAGGGTTTCTTTAGTTTTAGTTGGGTGCACGTCTATATATTCCCTAATACCTATGTTCCCCAACCCTTACCATGATCTAACCCTAACCCTAAGAATTTTGAGGAACACGGGTATTGGGGAACATCGGGTAGACCCTCTTTTAGTTCCAAGAATGCTTCTCCAAGGTTCAAACAACATGCTCTCCATACCATGATCATGGCTATGATCGATATGTTGTGACAGTCTACCTACATACACCACTATCATCGAATAATTAGGTCCCTATCTCCAGCTTGTCAAGGGTTTTACAATTGAGTACGAAACCACAAAAGGTGTGGGGATTAGTAGGTCCAGGGGATGCTGAGTAGGGTCAACCCCCTCCTTGTTTGAGGACGCACCCCCCAAAAAACATTCACCGCAGATCTACCCAGACAATGGACAGTCACCTCACACAGGAATAAGCATCCTGGTAGTGGTACAATCGTGTGGTCACAACATTTCGCTTTCTGAAGAATGGAAATGTGCCTCATCATGTCAGGAAACCGCACTAATTAACCTGATAGTGCTCTCTCAAAAGGAGGGCTTGGTGTTGCTAAGTGTTAAAAAAATTAGTTCCTTCCACAAACATTGGAAAAAGAAGAAGGAAACAAGCGCAGGTCATTCACGAACAAATTCCACCAACAACGAGGAAAAAACCATGCTTGAGTCGAAACGCAATGCCTTGCGAAATTTGCTCTTTTTACCAAAGTTTTCTAGTTGGCTGGCTATACAAGGAGACTCAAAAACAACAACCAAATTCATCGAAATACACCAACTTTGCAGGTACAAAACACAACATTCTCAACATTAATACGTCGACAAAGCTATCATAAATTTGCTGATATAACTTCTCCAGAGAATCAGAAAATTCCACAAGATAATCCATTATTTCCAAGGTTAAACCACCCCCTCACTGGCCCAGCAGTAGGCTTGGCATAGTTCGGATCTCAAGTTCACCGGCATTCCTGACACCCTACCATCAATAAACGTTTGGTTTCAACCCATAAGGGTTCAATCTGTTATCCCACACAAAGGCACAGGGCAGTGCAAGAGTTCACTTTTCACTTTGCTGACGCCGATAAAAAAAAAGAACAAAATGTCTGTAAATTTCCATGGTTCGATTTTAGGGGCATTATTGCCGAGAACAAATGTCGTGGGAAAGCACATTCGAATTGGATTACACTGGCTAGAGTGTGAACTTGTGCCCACAATACTACGCATGGAAGGGTTTTGTGAATAAAACCCCCGAGGCTTCGTAGAAAAAAAACTATGGAAGACGGAAAAGCCATGGCAAAATGAAACGGAACCGCAAAAAAATCAGAACCATTGGTATCAAATCTTGATAATAAACAATATCACATTGCCAGCAGGATTGAGAAGAACACGTATTTCATTCGCTTACTTTAAACCACAGAAAAGTAAAGTTATTTCGTTTCAATTTAAGTTATTTTCCAAAAAGTTGCGTGGGTATAAAATCTGCCATTATCCAAATGTACATGTAGTTCTAACAAAGCTAAAGCTAGGGCATACAAACTGAGCACGCAATGCAAGCAATGGGACACACATGGGTCCACACGAGGGTAACCTTGCATTTTTCAGTCAAAAATTCGGATCAGTATTTTACTTACTTTCTCATTGGATTTCGGTTCCCTGTCGACAGACGAAGTGTGGACCTCCACTCCGTTCATCTTCTCCAGTAACATTCCTCAACAGGTGTTGAACCCTGGCCCCTTCCAAAATAAAGAACAAAGAAAAACCACCGGTAAAAGTTCAGCTCCCCTGGGTTCCGAGAACTCCCAGTGCGGGACGGTTAAACCATGGTTAAACTAGCGGGTGAAGCAAGCGACCTCAATGGGTTCAAACGGCCTTGGACACGGTCGGGGATAGAGGGAGATATACGCACAATGACGACACCAGCTCCCCTGATGCTAGAAACGTGTCCCAACACATGTAATTCTCAACAGCGTGTCCATAAAACAAGAAAATATGTGTGCAAACCTCACATGTGTTATCCACACTGGTAGAGATATCCTAATTCGCCACAGTTAGGTTGAGAAAAAGTTTTGAGTTATTCCTCCAAGGTGCCAGTCTGGCGACCGTGTGTTCGTGTTGGAACTGTCTGATCACAGTGGCTTTGTTGGGTTTAACCATCGCACACAGTGTGGGGGTGTTGAGTTCGAAGATCAAACTAATAACGCATTATTAAAGATTACCCCGTCAAACCTGAAGAAGAAAAATCAGATTTCAGCGCGTTAGTAATCCAAAGGTAGCCGATAGTCGTTAAAGCTTCAAACCAGGATGTTGTCTAGAACGATTGCGACTGTGTAAATAAAACGAAACCATCAGATTTTTTTTGTTACGGGCGTCGATATGAAGTTTGGCCTCAATAAAGCAATAAAGAGAATCCACATCGGTAGCAGCTGTATACGAATCCTGTTCCACAGAACAGGAGCGAGAATAATGCTACATTCCAATTCTTGCGAAAGGTTTGCTTTATGGTTTGAACATAGAGCACAAAGAGCAAGGTGGCTTTGACTTGTTTGAAGAGTCAAGCTTGTCTAAAATAATGTTGACTGACATTACGTCATCCGCACAATCCGATCATGCGCGAACAAAATTAAGTCAACAAGAGACGACTGCCATTTCAATCCATGAACAAAGCATGAATAAACATGTCAGGGAATCTGCATATATATCCTTGGTAACAAGACGTACCAATCAGGAAGTGTCACTAGCGTAAAGTTTTACATACATCATCCATTCAGCTCAACTGTTGATTATAATGTGCCTCCTAAATTTCAAGGCGGAAAAAACTGTACAAAGAGTGCGTTGTTACTTCAACAGTATAGAACTTAGAAGAATGGAAGCATTGAAATACACACCTTTTAGTTGCGTAGTTCTCTCTCTCAATTTTTCGACACCTGATGCTCCACAAAATAACAATTAATTGTTTGAAATCATCATCAAAAGGTGCAGCCCATAGAATGCTCACAACCGAAGAAACATCTACAGACGACCAGGTATTCCAACCGTCTTCTAAAAATCATCCTCGAAGATAGCAACAAAAAACATCTTCCCTGCATTAAACTAATGAAAACGTCTGTTCCTTGCTCTATGGTTATGAGTCATTCGAAGAAGTAAATGATAATTTTGATGTCTCTGATTCATGCTCAGAGGTAGATGAGGCCAGATGAACATCAGTCGTTCTTACTGCATGTACATGTACGTGTACCACGTCCTTGCTAAAGTACGATATCATGTACATGTACATTGTACACGTACTGCTAATGCATTTTAAGCATCAACCCATAACATTCATTTACCACGCGCATAATGGATTTGTCCACCGCGTCATTCCTCGTCCATGTATTACAGACGGGACCACTCAAATGTAGGGGTGTTAATAATACAATAAAATACAATACTGGTATCATCTTTGCGTTAAAAAAACCATGTGATTAACGTTCGTATGTAAACGACCTTTGTAGAGGAGTTTCATTTTGACGGGTGAAACGTTTCGTTAAAAGTCATTTAAAATGTTGTTTGTCTCAAATAATGAGAATGAAAAATACAGAACTAGCATTTTCATCAGCCCTAGCGAAAATGTGATATTTTGAAGCTCATCCATCCTCGTATTAATATCGTCATATTTCCTGATGGGAGTAATATCGGTGATTTGTATTGTGTAATTGTCAACATGTCCATTTCGGTCGCCATTATAATAAAAAGATTCGGAAAGACACAGAGGAAGCTAAAAATAGCCCTTGCAAAAATCCGATAACAAAAATACCCTTTCCTTCCAATCACGCATAATTATTATGGTCATAGTACAGTTTAATATATTTGTTCAATCAACTATTTTGATCTTTGATGTCAGCACACGAAGCTTACGCTATGAGTATTACTAAACAAGGGAGATAACAGAACAATATTCCCTACTTATCAACATCGTTAACCTTTGAAGTGTTTCGTTCAAACCGCAGGGAAAAATGGCCATATAAACAATTTCTTTTATTCCTATTCGCGGCTCAGTATTTCCTATGGGTTGTTTTTCAATCCTACCCCCGCAACTTATTACGGACGGAAAACCAAAGTGATTTGCAAAACCCAAATCCAAGAATTTATTGGATTATTTTTCCTCCAGCCGGATTGAAGAATATCTGTTTGTGGAAAGTGCTTGTTTCAAATGTAAAAGTATAAAGCTACATGAATATTCCGTGGGAGAATGATGAATTCGTTCTTAACTCATGGCTATGAACTCTCCGAATTCGTGCATGTTTATGAATTACAAAAACTGACAAACAAACTGGGAGGGAAGGGTTTAACTTTAACTGATTCAGAAGAAAAAAATCCGGGGAAAATAGAGTACAGCAAAATAAATACAATACTTTTACTGTGATAACTGGAATTCAATTTCAATTCAATTCAATTCAATTCACTTTATTTTCCACATAAAAGAAGACGATCAGAGTTAAATGTATACAAAATATGTGGATGGGGATCCCTAAAAAGCAATGCTTGTCGAGTAGAGATCCCCAGTTACAATCATACAAAAATATTACAAGTTACACACACAAACTAAACATAAGGACATAACACCAGACACGAATATTCGAATAACATGCAGCTGATATTTATTCTTCAATGTACCCTTGCCTTGAGGAGACTTTTTTTCTCGTCATTTCTAATAGTTATTTATACTTTAGGGAGACACCAGACATTATAGGGAGATATTGCAATGTCTCCCTAATGTCACAACTCTTATTTATAGCATGGAGGAAGGAAAAGGTATAGGCCTATTCCTTCCTCCATGTTCAAAGTCAACATTTGTATGGTCGCAAATAGGCTAGATCGATTGATCGGGGGTCTACCCGATGTTCCCCAATACCGATGTTCCCCGAAATCCATGGGCGTCGCCAGGATTTTTTCTAGAGGGGGGCAAAAAAAAAATTTGCCCAAAAATGCTTGTAAGTTGTATTTCTCAACACATTCTCGAATTATCAGTTTTAGGGGGGGGGGGGGGGCAGGGACATTTTGCCCCCCCCCAACTCATTAAATTTACACCACTTTGTCTTCGCGCCTCTTTTTTTTTTTTTCGGGGGGGGGGCAAGTGCCCCCCCTGCCCCCCCCCCCCCCCCCCTCGCGACGCCCATGCCGAAATCCTTAGGGTTAGGGTTAGGGTCAGGGGTAGGGTCAGGGTTAGGGTTATAGGGTAAGGATTTCGGGGAACATAGGTATTGGGTAACATAGTTATGCACCCGATTGACTGTGGTCCAAAACATAAATAAACCAACATTAGTGGGGTGGGATGTGGACAAATTAGGGAAAATTTTGCGCACAACCCTGTATGGCAATGCCTCCCTAGGGTACCATTTCCCGTAAAGTATATTCATTACTATGATGTATATTGCACTGAATACCGAAGAACTTTAATCTGGGAATTCAGTATCTGCATATTTGCAAGAGTAAGAACTTTAATACTCGAGTGTTAACTTGTATACAGATTGGTAGGGTTGCATGATTACAGTGTTTTGATCGATATTACAATTAGAAGTACAGGTACTAGTCCTCTGGGTCAAAGTTCAAACCTTGCCTAATTTCTAGCCAACTCCTGTCGAATTCTCGGTATGTGATAATCCATCATAATCCCTAGCTTTGTTGATCGCTAATCTAACCCCCCCTCCCCGACTGGGCTACATGACCCCTGAAGCGTCCATGATGACCCTCATCAACTCTATCCCCAAATAAAACCCCTTTATTGCCTTTCTTGGCCGAGTCTTGGATCGTAAATCTTATTATTTTCTACCCGCCACCACCAGCACAGAGGATTACGGCGGTTGGAAATTACAGTACGGTCGGTTAGGGAAACACGACGGATCGCGAATTTACTGGCGATTTTGTGACCCCGAGGTTAATAAGGTTTTGGGCCGATTTGTAATAGAGATCACCCCGGAGGCAATAACAGTAAAGCCAGCAACATGGGGCCAGATTAACCACTCCCTAGTTTAGGTGTAGGCGCTTTTCAACTTCTCCTCAGCTCAGTCGGGGAATAAACACGCGAACAAACAAATAATTGAGCAAAATCAAGTAAACAAACATTCACCAACATAACCAACCAAAACGAACAAACATTTTAACAAACACGTACGAAATGACGCGTCAGCCAAAGACGCCAAAGCTAGCCTACACAAATTAATAAACGTAGGCATAAATGTACAATAGCTCATTAAAAAGACTATTTCGAAAAAAAATCACGGAATTTCAAGAATACGGAAATGGAAAACCTTTTGCTAACCTTTTATTACTGACAAGAAATAGATATGAGGTATGCTACGTCATAAGTAATGTCCAATGCTTTTCTCCTTCTTGAAAGATAATTAAGGCATATTTATTCCTCCCTAAGATCAAGAATTACCCGTCTCACGAAACGTCCCCCAAATTCAGTGAAGTAGAATTCCGGGGAGCGACTCAGGAATATATTCCCAATTATCAAAAATTCCGGCGAGACATTTGGTTTCCTGACCACGGCATCTAACCTCCGTTTTCAAAGACAATTTTGAGATTTGAGTTTTAAAAATAAGTTGAAATTTAAAAATTGAGAATGTATGAAGACGTACTCGCACGCATGGTCCATTACTCGAAGACTCGCCGTTCGACTTGACCAATGACAGGTCAAAGTCCTGGAATCTATTTTTAGAATTCAATCAGCGGGGAAGGTGTAACGTCCATAATTGAAAGATGAGAGTAATTAAAAACTGCCTCATGCGCCATTGTGTTGTTCGATCGCCCCACTCACGGTTCCACACCCCTAGGGTATCGCCAAGGTGTTATAAAGGGTCATTATGATGGGTCTTTATTAACACCTTTGGGTACAACCATTGGCTCAGGTCAGTTACCTGGATCATATAAGGTCCGTGAGATACCTGTGAAATGAGTACAAATGCTATTGGCTCCGTGCATGACCCGGTGAGGGCGCTATCACAAAAGGTTTCGATTAGCTTTTTTTCTGAAATCCTTGAGATGCTGCTTTTTAGGGAAGTGTCTTCAGCAATTCCTGGTCTCTTTGTAATGGCTGGGGAAAATATTTCCATCGTTCTAATTGATATTGCGGTTAATTGTCACATTGTTTGGGGTAGCCATTTTGTCAGCACAATTTTGTCAAACTTCTTACAGATTTCAAACTTGAGCTTTCAAATCTTCCTAGGACCACAGTCATTTCACTGTACTGGTTTCAGAGCAAAGTGTAGAATAAAGCGTGAAGAATTCTTGGGTTCCAATGAGGCTGACATTTTATCCATGTTTCTCTTTTTTTTTCTCCCTGCGGTTGACACTTGCTGGTGAAACTAGGGTGAAACCTTTGTTACCGCTTCCACTTAAAATACACAATGCGCTAAAACCAGTATGTAGTGTTTACTGCTATTGTAGCCGCACCTTTTGCCAAACTTTTGTGGAGTTTTGAACACATTTCGACGAAAGAGCAAAGAACTATCGGAAGCAAACAATTAGTGGAAGAAGTCTTTACTACACTTAAAAAAAATCATTAAGTGGCCGAAAAAGGC